AGAAAAACCATTCTTAATTAATGTTCTTACATTGTACATATGGTTTTTATTATAATGTACTTACTCGAAGGGTATAAAGCTATGTGTGTTGAAATATCTTTATTAAAATGTATAAAATTATACTGATTTCCTCCCATATATACACATCTGTAGTATATTGACAAAAATTCATGGTAACTTATACCTCTTCATATATATATATATATTATATTATATATATATATTTATTTTTTTTTTTTCAATAACAGGCAGCAAAAATATAGCTTTATACTCAAATTTATCTGTAAATTAAATATTTTGATGTAATGATGTAATATTATATGTATAAATGTAAAACAATTAGAAATAAATGGGGACCCAGTTGGGGCCTGAAAAAAAAAAAAAAAAAAAAAAAAAAAAAAAAAAGAATATTACTGTTTATGCCATGATAAATATATAAATAAAGCCTTATGTCACCAGTTGTTGTGTTAGCAATAACCAGTACTCAGCGGGGGATATAAATTCAATGAATTTGCTTGTTCTAAAACTGTGAATGTCAAAAAATTTTCAAATTTCATATTTGGTATAATTTTTTCCCTGTTAACGAGCTCTACTCATTGCAACAAAGACATATTGTGTAGCTTTATTGTGGAAGGAGATATTGACCCTCAACAGTCACGAAAATGCAACTTTTTGTGCCTCCAGTCTTTGGGGGAGGAGAATTTAGATTTACCCTTGTCGGTCTGAACTACCGAATAGGGATAGGGGGCCATCTAACTATAAAAAGAACAAATGAGAACAATACAGTTCATTTCTGTAACAATAGAGTAAGGGGCCATTGGCCCTCTATTAAACAATAGAAAATAACAAAAGAAATGGCCCCTTATTCCATTTCGGCAGGATGTCCGTCCGTTATCATTTTGTGTCGCATATAGCTCAAAAAGTATTTGACCTAGAGTCATGAAACCTTACAGAAATATTGATCAGCATGTGTAGTTGTGCACCTGGGTATTTTCGAGTGGATATATTTAGTATTTTTAGAGGTAATTGCCCTTGACTTAGTAAAAATTTGTAATTTTCAACTTGTTTCGCAAGAAATTCAAAAAGTATTTGACCTAGAGTCATAAAACCTTAAAGAAAAATGCTCAGCATGTAAAGTTGTGCACCTGTGGTTTTGCTTGTGGATTTATTCTGTTTTGTTCAAGTGATTGTCCTTGACTTAGTAAAAATTTGTAACTTTCAACTTGTGTCGGGTGTAGCTCAAAAAGTATTTGACGTAGAGTCATGAAATTTTACAGGAATGTTGGTCAGCATGTGAAGTAGTGCACCTTGGTATTTTCGTGTAGATTTATAAAGTATTTTTAGAGTTATTGTCATTGACTTAGTAAAAAAATTGCAATTCTCAAAAAGTATTTGACATAGTGTCATGAAACTTGTGAAGTTGTGCACCTGGGGTTTCGCTTGTAAATTTGTATGTTTTGTTAAGAGTTATTGCCCTTGACTGAGTGAAAATTTTCAATTTGTGTAGTGTTGTAGCTCAAAATGTATGACATAGTGAGCTTTTTGTAATTGTGTTTTTTATGGCGTCTGGCCTTAAACTTTAACTTTAAACGACAGACCTACATCTCCTCATAAACCTCTTAGCCAATTTCATCAAACTTATAGGAATGTTCCTTTGAAAATTGTTCAAAGAATTGAATTCCATGCCGAAATCTGGTTGCCATGGCAAGGCAAAGAAATTTTTTTTAAAATCTTCTTTTAAAAAAACCCAAAGAGCTAGAGCTTAGATGTTTAGCATGAAACATCTTGTAGCGGGTCTCTACCACGTTTGTTCAAATAAAAGCCCTGGGGTCAAAATTTGCCCCGTCCGGGGGGTCATTGATTTTACATATATGTATATGGGAAAAACAAAAAAGATCTTCTTAAAAATCAAAAGAGCTAGAGCTTAGAATTTTTAGCTCGACTTTTTTTTTTTTTTTCAAAAAAAAAAGTAGAGGTATTGTTATAGTCAGGTCGGCGTTGCCGTTGCCGTTGCCGTCTCCGTTGCCGTTGCCGTCCGAAAACTTGTACCTGGATCATAACTTTTTTATTTCTTGGTGTATTGTCTTCATACTTGGCCACAACAACCCTTGGGACAAGACCTTTCAGTAGACCACACTAACCTTGACCTTCATCCATAAATGACCTTGACCTTCAAGGTTAAAGTCCAATTTTTGCTTGTTCATGCTGTTATTGGCTGTTACTTTGTTATTTTTGAATGGATTGTCTTCAAACTTGAACATAATAATCTTCAAGGATATCCCTTAAAAATAACCAGTCAGACCTTGACATTCACTCATCAATGACCTTGACTTTGAAGGTCAAATTATTGAAATTTTCATTTTTTTGGCTTTTATTGGCTGTAACTTTGTTATTTTTGAATGGATTGTCTTCAAACTTGAACATAATAATCTTCAAAGATAACTGTTAAAAAATATACCGAAAGACCTTGACCTTCACTCATTAATGACATTGCCTTTGAAGGTCAAATTATTGAAATTTTCATTGTTTTGGCAGTAACTGACTGTAACTTTGCTATTTTTGAAGGGATAAACTTCATATTATAACAGAACATTCTTAAGGACCAGACCTTGTTGTTTATCAAACCCAAATTTGCTTGGGCTCTTTAATGGCCTTGACCTTGAAGGTTATATTACTGAATTTTCTCAGATTGTGCATTTTATCGGTGTGTGTGTGTATGTATAGTATATGTATTATATATAAATATATATATAAATGTGTGTGTGTGTATATATACATATATGCAGGTATATATATATATATATATATATATATATATATATATCAAATATATATATATCAATATATATCAAATATATATATATATATATATATATCAAATATATATATATATATATATATATATATATATATATATATACATATATATACATGTATATGATTGCGTCATTTTTTTTTCTATTTTTAGAAATTGCTTCATTTTTTTTCTATTTTTAGAAATTGCGTCATTTTTTCTATTTTTAGAAATTGCTTCATGTTTTTCTATTTTTAGAAATTGCGTCATTGTTGTTATTTTTAAAATTTGCGTCATTTTTTCCTATTTTTAGAAATTTGCGTCATTTTTTCCTATTTTTAGAAATTGCGTCATTTTTTCTATTTTTAGAAATTGTGTCATTGTTGCTATTTTTAGAAATTGCGTCATTTTTGTTCTATTTTTAGAAATTGCGTCATTTTTTCTATTTTTAGAAATTGCGTCATTGTTGCTATTTTTAGTAATTGCGTCATTTTTTTCTATTTTTAGAAATTGCGTCATTGTTGCTATTTTTAGAAATTGCGTCATTTTTTTCTATTTTTAGAAATTGCGTCATAGTTGCTATTTTTAGTAATTGCGTCATTTTTTTCTATTTTTAGAAATTGCGTCATTGTTGCTATTTTTAGAAATTGCGTCATTTTTTTTTCTATTTTTAGAAATTGCGTCATTGTTTCTATTTTTAGAAATTGCGTGTTTTTTTTCTATTTTTAGAAATTGCGTAATTTTTTCTATTTTTAGAAATTGCGTCATTGTTGCTATTTTTAGAAATTGCGTCATTGTTGCTATTTTTAGAAATTGCGTACTGTTGCTATTTTTAGAAATATGCTTAATGTTTCTATTCATATATATACAAAATATATAAACAAAACTAATGTGACAAGACAGACCAACTAAATTTATAAAAAGGAAACATCAATATATGTTCAAACCTTTCTATGTTTGCGTTTATAAAAAGTAAAAAGTCGAGCGTTGCCCCCGCCCGGCGGTGGCTCTTGTTATATGAAACATTGGCTTCTTGACCTTGACAAAAATTGTTCAAATTATAGCCCTTGGGTCAAAATTGACTTTGGGACAACATAGATTTACCTTATATGTATTTAAAAAAAAAAAACAAAAAAAAACTTTTCCCTAAATCGTTTAGTTTAAATAGCAACTAGTGACTTCATAGCAGCCATTGACTTTTCATAGCAAACTAAATTTTCATAGCAACCAGCAAACACAACTTCTCATAGCAAGTGACTCTACCATTGAATTTCATTGGAGACACTGACTTCCAAGGAAACCATCTATTTTGTATATCAACCAGTGACATCATATGGAACTGTTGTTTTCCCTTATCAATAGCAACCAGTAAAGTTTTTACAACATGTACTATTTTAGATCTAAATATGAACTTTGTGAGATCAGTTTAAGATTTAGATTTATAGTTGACAATATTTCTTATTCATATTCAGGTGAGTGATATTAGGGCCATCATGGCCCTCTTGTAATTATTTTTGCAACATCATATATTGATAAATTGTAAGAAAAATCTTAGTGATGACAAAAGGCCTCTTTGTTCTGTTTCTATAATGATTGTTTATTTTAGGCATGTTCTACAACAGAGAGCAGAAATGAACAGGTGCTGTCTGGACAACAGTTTCTATCTGCTATAGAAGAAAATCTCTCTCAACCTAAATATGACATTTATAGTGATGACTTCAAAAAAGAACTAAGGTATCTCATTTATTCATAAAAAATTATCAGGTGTTTTTTCTAAGGGGAGAGGAATTGATGTCATTTTTCATGAGTGAACAGCTTGTGAGCTAGTATTTCTTAATGATAATCAATAAAACTTAATATTTGCATTCATAATTATATGATTATTAGTCCCCTACCAGTTTAACCGGAGGGGACTTTAGGTTTACCCTCCGTCCGTCTGTCTGTCCGATTTTAGGTTTACCCTCCGTCCGTCTGTCTGTCTGTCCGTCTGTCTGTCTGTCAGTCCGTCCCTCCACAAAACTGGATCTCGCGATAACGCAAAAAGTACTGAAAATATTTTTATGAAACTTCATATATGGATAGATGGCAGTATGGAGATTATGCACGTCTTTTTCTTTTCTTCCTATGTTGAAAATTCTGGTTGCTATGGCAACAAATAGCCTGAATTTCAAGATTTCTGATATAAATTTTTAAGCTTTTTCACTATAAGTTCTTTATTTCTGAAAGTGTTTACTTCAAACTTTAAATATAAGTTTCTGGTCTTCAACCACATTATTTGTGACAAGGTTTATAACTGTAGCACAAAAATTATCAGTATTTCCTCCCTTGAACTTAAAATTTTTATGAAAAAAAAATTGTCTTTTTTAAATAACTTCTTTATTTCCTAATGTATCTGCTTTAAACTATATATTTGTGTTTTAGTCCCCTACCGGTTAAACCAGAGGGGACTTTAGGTTTACCCTCCATCTGTCTGTCCGTCCGTCCGTCCGTCTGTCTGTCAGTCAGTCAGTCCGTCCGTCCACAAAACTGGATCCCGCGATAACGCAAAAAGTACTAAAAATATTTTTATGAAACTTCATATATGGATAGATGGCAGTATGGAGATTATGCACATCTTTTTCTTTTCTTCCTATGTTGAAAATTCTGGTTGCTATGGCAACAAATAGTCTGAAAATATTGCAAATTTAACACATAAACTGGATCCAGTGATAACTCAAAAAGTACTGAATATATTTTTATGAAACTTGAAATTTGGGTAAATGGCAGTCTGGAGATTATGCACATCTTTTTCTTTTCTTCCTATGTTGAAAATTCTGGTTGCTATGGCAACAAATAGCCTGAATTTCAAGATTTCTGATTTAAATTTTTAATCTTTTTTCACTATAAGTTCTTTATTTCTTAAGGTATTTACTTCAAACTTTAAATATAAGTTTCTGGTCTTCAACCACATCATATGTGACAAGGTTTATAACTGTAGCACAAAAATTATCAGTATTACCTCTCTTGAACTTAGAATTTTTATGAAAAAAAAAATTGTCTTTTTTAAATAACTTCTTTATTTCCTAATGTATCTGCTTCAAACTATATACATGTATTTGTGTTTCTTATTATCACTCAACATTTTTGAGAAGGTTAAATACTCTAGCAAGACTATTTCCAGAATTATGTCCCCCTTGAACTTAGATTTTTTTTCGAGAAATTGGTATTTTTTACTCTAACTTCTTCATTCCTTATAGGATTTACTTTAAAATCCCACATCGTAATATGACAAGATTGTATAAAATAATTCCCTTACTAAGCAGGGAAACTTAACACATTACTGTGAAATAAAAAAATTAGAACTCAAAAGATTTAAGTTCATTCATGTCATTCATTCACTGGTAAAATTGAGATCAGAATGTTGCTGGGGTTCTAACCGGTAGGGGACTTATGGATTGCTTGCAATACTATGATAATTGCTTGTTTATATTTATACATCACTTAGCAGAAACAGGAAATTTGCTTTTCTCATATGTGTCAGTGAGTTGATGACTGTCTGTAAATGAAGCCTTGTCTGATCAATAAGAAGAGACTGTTCTATGGCAGCTAGTGATGTTCCGATTGTCGCAAGTCGCCAATAATCAGTTACTGTTATGTAAAACGACAATAATCGATTCACAAAAATTTGTTCCGCGATGTCGTCAAAAATGTTTAAAAGTATCAAAGGGAATAAATTCTGACGGTAATTTTCTTTTAGAAACACCTCGCCGATCGCTAAAAAATCATCTCAGAGACAATTTGGAGTTGAACAGGCTCAATAAGTGATGTAAACAATAGTAATGTAATGTGATGTGAATGTTATTAATTTGACATCCATTGAAAAATAAAATCTATTTCGTAAAATTATGATTATATAAGGTTAAAACTGTGTTGAAAAGTGCTAAATGAAGTTCATTTACTGAATATAATCAAGTGTCTTGGGAAGAAATGTTACTTCCCTATTTTATCACGACTTTATTTGAAAAGTTATCGATTATGTCCCATCCGACTGAACCAATGATCGATTGGGACAAATTTCATCCGATTTTCCATCACTAATGGCAGCCACATCTTTTAATACTGTTAATTATTAGAACTATTTTCTCACTGATGACAAGTGTTTGTGGGTATCAGAAGCAGCATTTGTTTTAGAAAATAAATATAGCTGATGTAGAAAAAGTCTTTCATATAGTCATAAAATTGTGGTGTCATTTAAAAACATATGTTCTTTTTAAAAGTTCTACTGTTGATTTTTAAGCCACCCCAGCATCGGTGATGCAGTGGCATGTAGAGATTCACCTGTGTGTGTGTTTTTGTGTATGTATGTTTGTTGTATGTTTGTTTCTTTCTTTTTGTGTGTTTAAAAAATCTTGTGAAAAACCACTAGTCCAATTTCAACCAAACTTTGCGGGATTGATCCTTGGGTGAAGGGCTTGCAAATCTGGTTGCCATGGCAACCAAAGGAATTATAAGAAATTTTTTATGCCACCGCAGCATCTGCGATGCGGTGGCATATAGCGATTCACCTGTGTGTGTGTGTTTGTATGTGTGTGAAAAACCACTAGTCCAATTTCAACTAAACTTGGCAGGATTGATCCTGGGGTGAAGGGCTTCCAAAGTTGTTAAAAGAATTTCATTCCATGCAGAAATCTGGTTGCCATGGCAACCAAAAGGAATTATAAGAATAAATTTTTTTTCAATAAGGCATTGTCTGGTAGACCTCTACCAAGATTGTTCCAATTATAGCCCGGGGTTCAAAATCGGCCCCACCCTTGGGGTCATAGATTTTCACTATATGTACATATAGTAAAAACTTAAAATACCTTCTTGTAAAGACTCAAAAGGCCTAGAGCTTAGATATTTTGCATAAGGCATTGTCTGGTAGACCCTCAAATTATAGCCTTGGGGTCAAAATCGGCCCCGCCCGGGGGTCATTAATTTTCACTATATGTACATATAGTAAAAACTTAAAATAGCTTCTTGTAAAGACCCAAACGGCCTAGAGCTTAGATATTTTGCATAAGGCATTGTCTGGTAGACCTCTACCCAGATTGTTCAAATTATAGCCCTGGGGTCAAAATCGGCCCACCCTGGGGGTCATTGGTTTTCCTTATATGTATATAGTAAAATCTTTTAAAAAATTTCTTCTAGCAATTGACAAATGCTAGAGGTTAGATATTTTGCATGAGACATTGTGAAGTGAACCTCTAGCAAGATTGTTCAAATTATAGCCCTAGGGTCAAAATTACCCCTCCCCGGGGGTCATTGATGATTTTTCCAATCTATACATATAGTAAAAAATCAAAAATCTTATTGTCTGAAGGTACAAGGCTTAGAGCTTTTAATATTTGTTAAATGATATCATCTATAGGTACTCTACCAAAGTTGTTCAAATTTTGCCTCTAGTTGTCAAAATTAGCCCCGCCCCGGGGGCCATAGGTTTTCCTTATATGTATATAGTAAAAACTTTAAAAAATCATCTTCTCTAAATTTACAAAGGCTAGAGTTAAGATATTTTGCATGAAACATTGTGTAGTGAACCTCTAGCAAGATTGTACGAATTATAGCCTCGGGGTCAAAATTGGCCCCCCCCCAGGGGTCATTGATTTTCACTATATACATATAGCAAAAAATTAAAATATCTTCTTGTCTGAAAGTACAAGGCTTAGAGCTTTGATATTTGGTATATAATATCATCTATGGGTCCTCTACTAAAGTTGTTTAATTAGGCCCCTAGTGTTAAAATTGCCCTGCCCAAGAGGTGATAGTTTTCCTTATATGTATAAAGTAAAAACTTGAAAATCTTCTTCTCTGAATTGACAAAGGCTAGAGGTTAAATATATGGCATGAGACTTTGCGAAGTGAACCTATACCAAGAATGTTTAAATTATAGCCCTTGGGTCAAAAAAAAAAATTGGTTCCGCCCGGGGGGTCATTGATTTTCATTATGAACATATAGTAAAAAAAAAAAAATATTTTTGTCTGGAGGTACAAGGCATAGAGCTTTGATGTTTGCTATATAATATCATCTATAGGTCCTCTACCAAAGTTGTTCAAATTTTTCCCCTGCTGTCAAAATTGGCCCTGCCCGGGGTCAGTGATTCTCATTATGTACACATAGTAAAAACAGGAATGAAAACAAATGTTTTCTCAATGGGACAAAGCTACAGCTTAGATATTTGACTTGAAATGTTGTTTGATGGACCTGTATCAAGATTGTTTTGAATTAAACCCTTGGGTCAAAATTTTGCCTTGCCCAAGGGGACAGTGACCTACTTTCTTGTCCTTTGATGTACAGCCATGTGCACAGTTTTAGTTGTAAAATTGAACTTTGATATCAGGTGACCTAGATTTTGATGATGTGACCTACTTTCTTGTCCTTTGATGTACAGCTATGAAATTTTAACCATGTGCACAGATTAAGATGTAAAGTGAACTTTGATATCAGCTGACCTAGATTTTGACAAAGTGTCATATTGTGTTGTCCTTTGATGTAGTCATGAAATTTAGGCTATGTGAAATATGACCTTCACCACCAAATTCACTAGACTAGTACATTGATATATTCCTACTCTGATCTTTTATTGGATTAACAATAGATTTAACCACTAATCTGATAATAAGGATTAGATAGGTCAGGGATCTATGCATTATGACAATCTTCAATTGTATAGAAACAAAAGAAATCTGTTCCTACACTACTACTTAGTGTTGTA